GTTCATATGCTTAACCACTACCCACACTGCCTCTCGGATCACAGGGTGACCGTCTAGCTACCTCTTCTTACAGATTTGGAGTCTGAGGCCCGGGGAGAGAGGGTGACTCACCCACAGTCACTCAGGTAGTGGGAAGAGAGCCTAGTCCCCCAAAGCCCAGGCCCCTAGAGCCACTGGGTCAGCCACCAGTCCCTACCTTCCCCAGGGAATGTGACCACTTATATTTGGTTTCTTCACTCCTGTGGCTCAGAAAGTGGGGGAAGGAGGAGGTATCCAGTTTCTGTGATAATCCATCTAAGGATAAGCCCAAAGGGACCTTCTACCATTGTCAGACATTTGCACGGTATTTCCCCAGCCTGTAGGGGCAAACAGACCCCTCTGTCTCTTCCACAGGGAACCCAACCATGTGAGTTACCTTGGTAACCAACATACATAGGTATATACAGAATTAAGTAAGAAGTATTTATCACAGCAACAGCTGTGAACAGCAGCTTCTACCTAGCTACTAAGGTTTAGATAGTTAACAAAATTATAAGATCCTTTAGTGGTAGTCATAATTAGCAAAATATCATTTATATAGTGCCATAAAGAACTATGTGTCAGACACTGTTCTAAGTGCTTTATAAGTAATTATAATCCTTACAGTGACCTTCTGAGGAAGGTACTTATTACCTCCATTTTATAGAGGAAACTGAAGCACAGAGACAGGCAGTAACTTGCCCAAAGTCACACAGCTAGGAAGTGGCAGAGCCTGTAAACAAACCCAAGCAGTCTGGCTCCAAAGTCTAGGCTCTAAACCACTAGATGACACTGCCCCTTTTGTGTCATTCTTTGTCCTTCTGCCATGCCTAACATTTCCGTGCACCTCCATAAAAGCCATCTAATCCAACTAACAAGATTTGCGAGGAAGAAACACCAAGAACGGTGTCTTAGCTCTCTCATGCGGACTAACATATTACTCCAAAACAACAAACATTTATTACCTCACAGTTTCTGTGGCTCAGGAACCTGGGTACAGCTTAGCTGGGCCCTCTAGCTCAGGATCTCAATTAAGGTAACAGCTGGGACCACAGTCACCCCAAGAGTCAACGGGGACAGGATCTGCTTTCAAGCTCATTCAGCGGCAGGATTCAGTTGGACTGAGGGCCTCAGCTCCTTGTCACATGAGCTTCTGCGTGGGGCAGCTCACAACATGGCAGCGGACTTCATCCAAGGGAGCACGTGGTAGACAGAAAAAGCATGCCAGCAAGACGGAAGTCACAGGCTTTTAAGAAA